GTCTATTCGCGATCACATTCCGGTCTACCTACGCAGGCGTACCTGACACATAAGAAGAGATTTATTTGTAGAACTTCCCTATACACAACATTTGACTGAATTTTATACTATATTATTTTTAAATACTCGAAGCTAAGAAGTAATTAAAACTAAAGTACTAGAAGCGAAGAAGTTCTCAGAAGGTTATATTTTACCACTGACCTTTCAAGAATAAGCGCTTTTAGCTGAAGCGTTAAAAATATTTGACCGTTGAAGTAATTTAGCGTTCAAACACCCTTTCAAGCGAGCAGCGCGTGAGGTCACGCGATGGTCTGCTATTTTATTCTCCGTGTTAAATCACGCTTTCTTTGTTATAAATTTCATAATTATTTTAGGCAGGACGATCGATATGTATACAGTTTTTAAGGTTTGATATAGAACACTTTTGGAGTAAAGCTACTTTAGGCGCATGAGGGTAAATTTTTACGGAAACGTCACGAAGGTGTGCAGCGTTTTTGTCAAAGAAAAGGGAGAGAGCGATTGAGAGAGAGAAGGGTGAATTAGCTTTTAGAAATTCTATTTTTAAATTTAAAATTTCGTAAAAAGAATTTATGAAATATTAGTATTTTATGAAAAAGAATTTATTGAAATCTCAAATGACGAATCGTTAATTAAAATGTCACGTGTTTTTATTATAGAAGAAATGAATAAAAAAAATTAAATTTATAATTTGTATTAATTTTCGATACTTGATATTTTAATGACAATTAAATTCCTAATAAACCTCCCTTTTTCCCTCCCTCAGTCTCGGAAATCTAAAGTTTTAGATTTGTATAAATATGAACAAGACTTGAAAATTAGTTTGCCAAAGAAGTTTCACTTCTGACATGTGTTCTTTGTACGCACGCACTTTTTTTTCTATTTAACAACGAATTTATTATAAGTCACCTTGTGTTGTTCGTTTTCTTATGTTATTATAGCTATTGCGAATGTAAATGAACTTCCGTCGTGTGCTTTACATTTGCTTTTGTTTTTTGCTCACGAAGCAATTTCATTGGAAAACATATTATAATAGCCGTAAATAGTAACAGTGATTTTTTAGTAATAGGGTTGCCTAGAAAGTATCGCTTTATAGCAGCATATTTTATGTTTCTCTTTAAGAATTGTAATTGAAAATTAAAATCAATCCATAGTAATACGATTAATTTATTTACGTGGTAATTATTGCTAACCTTAACACCGTGCAAACAATACCATATTATATGTGGAAATTAGGACATACTTTCTCTGCCAGACCATTCACGCTGTCATATAGAGCGTTTGGTAGCATTCTGATAAACAATAAACTACAAGCTCCCTCCTTATCAGAATGCCAAATCGTAAAATGACTGCTTTACGACTGATTTGAGCGCGACCGCCGCTGCGAAAACCGCTGTGAGAGTTCGAAAAGTGAGTTACAGAATCGCAAGGCAGAGCTTTAGTTAAAATAAAATTAAGATTTGTAAATAAAGATTACAAGGCTATTTGTATACCATATTAAGCAACTGTGCGCAATTTAAATTTGCTCGAACAAGGCAAAGATAAGTAAGAAATTGACTTATGTGAGACCTAAATGGTTAGCTAATACCAAGACCATTATTATTACCTGAACATGTTGATTTAAATTATTCGGATCCCGATCCTCGAGCAACTCCTCCACTGTAACGTTCTGGGTCTTTGTGCTCTCCATGACTTGAACCCTAATGGGGCTGTCCCCATGAAGGGCGGGCTGGGAACCCGGTTCCGGTATGTCGGGCAACAGCTTGATTGGCTTATATTGTCATTAATTAAAGCTAAAAAAGGTTTTAAAAAATTGCATTGTCTCATGTTCTCATAAATAATAATATAAATACTTAGTATTTGGAGATATTTTTGCTACATAAATACCTATTATTTAAAAATCTATATCGTTGTAAATACAATTTCTGGCTTAGCAAAAAAATAAAGTTGCGGAAACCTTCCCGGTACTTTTAAAAACCTGTTAAAGTCAAATATTCAACTTATAGTTTATATAAAGAACTAGCCGTTTCGCGCCCGCTTTGCTGGACGAATTAAAATAAATTTTATGTTTCATTATTTTATTTTTTTTCATATTTTTATTATTCTTCTTTTTAACTTCCCGCTAAGAAAATTGAAATATAAATGATAAATTTTCATAAAAGTAAAACAGCAATAAAAAAATGAAGGAACGTTGGAATTTAATAAATAAATAGCCATAAACCATCTAGGAAAAATTGGTATAATGGTGGTAGTTTCATGTCGATACGATCAGTGGTTTAGGCGTGAAGGAGCCTCAAACGAAGACCATTTTCCTGTTATATAAATAGATAACAATTTGAATTTAATCAAAAAACAAAATCATTATAACCTTACGCTATGTCGTGTTTTGTTTTCAAAGTGACAAGAGAGTGTCAATAGTTAATTGATTTAATAATGCAATAATCAATAAAAAATATCCCATTAGATATAAAAACTAAATCTCGATTACATTTTAATTAAAAGCTCATTTACTCAAGCAAAATTGTAGTCGACTTAAGTATAAGACTTTAAAAGTTTCGTATATTATAAATATATACTTAAAAAGTAAAGTATTTATTTTATACGTACGTGTTATATCCACGAGTTAAACTCACTACTAAAGCTTGAAAGTTTTTCCAACCCTTTCAGTGAAGTATAGTATACCAGTGAAAGATATAACATCCGTTCATAGTTTGTTTAGTACGTACGCCTAAAACAAACAAATTTTTGTTCCCTAAATTTTGTCTAAATAACTTTATGTCATATGTATTTTTGCACTTCTTGCGTTTACCTTTTTTTCTCACAGTTGTTGCCTGGAAGAGATCGCTCGAAGCGATAAGACCGCCAGCTTTCCTTTTTATTTAATAATGTCAATTGTATTATATTTCTGTACATACAATGAGGTGTTAATAAATATAATAAATAAATATAGTAATAATTCAATATCGGCATCCTAACAATACATTCAGACAATTAACTTTTAAACCTTTTGTCATTCTCGTCCTCGTTAGAACCTAGGCTAATCGATCTATCCTATTACAAGAATGTGTACGCTAGCAAATACATTTTCCCCTGTAACTTTCTCCTCTTACAGTTTTGTCATTTATATTTCTCGTTTTTTTAAATAACAAGTTAATATTTTGTAGTAGTAGAGTAGTCTGTAGTTATTAAGTATAAAGTAATTGTAATCTGTGAGATAACAATATTATTTTACTTACATCTCGTATGTCAATAGGCAATTGTATAATTTTACCAAAAAAATCGCCTATTTAGTTTAGGTACACAGCACTCGTACTTAGAAATAAAGAACCCTTAGTCTTAGAAATAATAGAAAACTACTCCAGCGTAGCTTAATAACACAACGATAACAATAACAAAATCTCGTTTCTTTTAGCTATGCCAAACATATGACTAAGTCTGCATTTATACTACCTGCAATATCCAAAACAATTCTATTATAAGAACAATATCTCTTGAGTTTTATATTCATGAGCTTTATAAGTAATTAAATTTGCGTAGCTTTTACTGATGGAAGAACTTTATGAAAACGACGCATGCTCCATCACTGTATTAACCTGGACTTGTGTAGCAAACTTATTATGGTAATATATTTTATAAAACTTAGATTGCTAGTACTATGTTCTTATATACTTACGGCCATGTATGCCTAACAACGCCGTCGAATCTTTGGTAAGCTCAAGCGGCAATGTCTTCATTGCGTAGACAGAAAAATAATTCGCCGAAAGAATGAATACACGACCAAATGGTTAGAGACATTAATACTGGTGTGTTAACTGTATAGGATTGGTAAAGAAACACAATTTTGTAAATATCATATAATTTTTGATATATTTACTATTTACATATAAAACTTAATTTATTGGGCTTAAATCTATGTATTGTTAAATATTCGGTATGTGGTAATTACAGTCTTAAATCATATGGTATTATTGATTATTGCACCTATTATTACATGCAAAGGGCGATACAATTAGTCTTAAACAATAAAATTATACAATTATTAAACGGAATAAAGAATTACAGAAATTACAGGAATTACAACACCGTAGCAATTACCAATAGTCAAATACTTATTAAGTTTATTGCATTTAAAAAGTATTTCGTTCGATTCCCAAATGCAGTAAAAAGTTACTTCTTCTTACCGACTCGTCAAATCAATTGAAATGATATATGAACGTGGGACTTAATAAAAACGAGAAGAAAAATATATTTTTTATATTGAAATATCGATTTTCGTAATGATGTTGTCGCTTGACTATTCCATAGCAATGTTAACCTAGCCACTGCACGCATGGATCAATTTTACCCCATATTATTGCTTATTGCTAATATCGCGTCAACACGATTACAGAAGGCGAACAGAGAAGCAAACTCATACCTTCTCATTCGCACGTGACTCCGACGAGAAGTGACATCCTGTCTACTTTATCTATTCAGTATACATGTGGAATTGCTGACACATATCACATAATGCCACATTTAAACTCACAGACAGAGCCCTACACAGAGAAGTACTGCCCGTAAGAAAAAGATTGCCAATGTGTTGCCGATAATATTAAAATGTTTTAGGATTCACTTTAAACGTGGTATTACAGAGAAGAACCTTATATAAAACCAACATATACATATGAAAAGTTTAGCACCGTTATATCTATGTTAAAGCTATTATACATTGGAAGACAGCTATTTGTTAGTATACAAAACTACTTTACTGATCGAAGTATTTATTGCAGTGACTTACTATACTTATATATAACTCAAATAAAGAGAAATAACAATATTTATAACTGTCTAATGTCAATATTTATAACGATATGTCTCACCTATAATCACCGCATCTGAACGTAAATTTAGTATTACATTTTTTAAATAGGTTCAAATCAGCACCTTTAAATCATAAAATAACCTGCTATATAAATCACCATACATGTTAAACTAAGTTTTCAGCGAATTGCAACAATATTCCTTGCGGGTCTGGAAGGCCGCAGTATGGGCACGATGGGCTGCTCTTCCTTCGGTTCACTGTAACGCATTCGAGGGTTAATATGTTTCGTGACTGTAAAGTACGTTAGAGTGTAATCACTTTATTGAATTATAGGTTGATCTGTGGAACGAACTCAACAATTCACACGCTGTACTTGCTATGCCTTTATAATAATAATAATTTAATTGCAAGAATATGGTGGTACAATCAAAAACTTTGCATATTATGCCACAAATTTGTCTTAAAAAGAATTTTACATATTAGTCATATCATTATAGTAAAATCTAAGTGATAAAATATCACATTATTATAATATATTTTAACGTTATCAAATTAATAGTAATTATAATGTTTCACGCAAATAATCATTAATAGCGTAACGTAGTTTAAAAAAAGGGATATAAAGCATTTGTCTTGTACTGATAAGCAAGTACTTATTTAAAATTACACAATTTATTATTAATTATACATCGTAGTAACAAATTATTCAAAGATTCGAGTATAAATGACCCCGACGCATAGGGAGGACTATTTTTCACTAAATAAATGTTTGGTAAACTATTTTTAAAACTAACCTTAATGCTGACTAGTATTAGTATCAAGCATGCAAAATGCATGTAATCCTTAAACTTAGTCATTACAACTTTTAAAACAACTAGGTCAGATCGCAACTGGAAGATTTCTGCACTAAGGTAGTGAGATGTGTCACTCACTGCAACAAGAGCGTAGCAGAGGTGAGGCGGGCCCCCACTAGCCCATGAATATAAAATAGAAATATGCAGTAATATATGTAATTGTATATATATATATTATATATATATTAGGAAATTTCTCAATGTATGTATGTATAATTGTATATATATGTTTGTACAAAATATATGTATAAAATAAGGTCCCGCACCACAAGAGTCGGGGACAAATTTTAAATTCAGAAGTAACAGAGGCAGTTTTGTATACAGATCAACCGTTAATAGAACTTAGAAATAAAAGCTAAATCCAATAAATTTTTAATATACAGCACTCACCTTTGGAAAAGCGGTTAGATAAAGCACTACGGAATCTCCTTCACCACCTTGAGGAAAATAACCATTGTTATTTCTACTAAACATGCCTATTATAAATACGATTCACTATTCCTTACGTTTGAAGCAGAAACTTACATGCGGGGAAAATCAAATACATGCATCTTGATTTTCGCTTAATGTGACTTGAATATGAAATAATCGGTCGTTCAATCTCACAGTTAATACTCTTTCATGGCTAAATTTACTTCATGAAAAACCAATCAAATTGCATTCTTTAGAGATGTCAATGGTCTCTTGTCATTCGATAACACAATTTGACAGAAAGAGACAATAGAGTACTTTAAAGAGCATCAAAACTCATTTAGTTTTAATGTATGTATTTTTTTTATTAAACACGCTAATTTAAATAATCAACAACCAATTTTTTTTAATTAACAGATTTTTTAACCTTAACTTACTTGTATTGTCAATTGTCAATACAAGTAGTATTGTCAATTGTCACTGTCAAAGTGACACTAAAATAACTTTTTCACCGTTTATATTAATTTTCTTTTTCACAGTTTACATGCATTACCTTATTTTGATGGGTTGTCTCAAAGATATCTCTGAGCTGGAAGACGAGGGTGATCTGGTAGTGAGCAGGCGCGGCGGGCGCGGTGTGCGTGGGGATGGGACGCCACGGGCGAACTCTAGGCGGTAATTGTCTGACCGGGGGCTACCGGAAAACGTGGAGCCCTCCACACCTATAATGAATAAAATTTTCATAAGATCTATAACGGATATAAACTCGATTTTAATTACGTTTCTAGTTGGTACTTCAAAGCCATCGTGTGCAGAGAGACACAATTAACAAATAATATATATGGCAACGCACAATATTTTGTTGTTGGCTGTGGCTTTAACTAGTCTACGAAGAGAGGCTATTATCCGCATAGCAATTGCTAAGTTGCAAATAATAAGTTGATAGATATTAATCCAAAACCCACGGCAAATATAACACCAGAACACAAAATGCGTTATTTCAAAATTCGTAAGACAAAAAATGTATCTCTATATCTATTAAATTATTATACAAAAAAATAATAGAAAAATCAATGGAATATATTTTGTAGTGATCTCATAATAAGTACAAGAGGTTATAAGAACGTGTCCACAACGAACAAAATGTGTGTCAGTGTAACGAGGCCGGTCACTGTACGTGCCTTTGCACATCCGTTGACCATTGATAAGCCTTGCCTTATGAGTTCAAGTAATTAATTAAAAAAGGATTTATTAATAAACAGTCTGCCGACAGCTAGGATAACGCTTGCGACCTCTGGATATTATTCTCTTATATGTATAAACGGGTAGATGTATTGTTACGTTAGGAATAAAAAATACCTTCTATTCAGTTAAACGAAAGAAATATTAACATCTGTGAATTGAATTTTCAATTTTATGTAGGTTTAGGTTTAAGAACAGCTTTATTTCTCATAAGAATTGCATACATAATTCACTTACTGAGAAACAATATGTAAAACTAAGATTAATAATTAGAGCGCACAGATGTGCGTATATAAAATAACAAAACAAAACAGCAACAAAAATGTGGGTAGACATAATATATAATAGTATTCAATCTACAGGAGAATTGAAAATACCATGAAATTTAAAAAATAATCCAGTGGCGCTATAACCCAAAATGGGTTTTTATTTTATAGACAAGTAGCCTTCAGTGTCTGACATCTCATAGGTTTTTGAGATATTACCGTAGGAACAAGTGGTACTGCGCAAGAAAAATTAATTGGTGTAAAGCCGTGATTCGAACGCACGGCCTGTGTTGCGAGTGTTTTAATCCACTAGGTCAACACAGCTCCTCTATTTTAAACAATGATTAGTAAATGTTAAATATAGTCACTGATTTTAATAACATTAGCATATCTGGTTGTCCTCGTACTGTGTTTATTTATGTTCATTGACTGTTAAGAACTATTGAGTATATGTTTAATAGAAAATTATACAGAACAGGTTATTAAAAACACAATTTGTGATCGCATGCAAAATTAGCTCCTTAAATGTTAGGTAATAATTAAGGTCCTAGGTCATACTTGTGTTGAGTATGTTGAGTAATTTTTCGATGCATACTATATAGACCAGTGCCGATAATAATTTTTGAAACCAAAAAAAATTACAGTAGGATGAAACCCATTAGAAAAGCAGGGGAATATGATCAAAATGAAAGGAAAAATAAATTACGGTCGATCTGAGGTCGGGAAGGGGTTAGGGGAGTTTTAAGGGTAAAAAACGGTTTATCTCGATTTCCGGCAAAACTAAAAGTCCTATCGAAGAAAGTTAAATGGCAAAGTTGTAGGTAATAAAAAGATCTAAAACTTTTGTATTCACACATTTTCACATAATCTCAAAATTGGTGTGAAAAATTCAAAAACCCAAGTTTTTGGTTTTTAATTTTTATCTTTTACAAATTTCTTTTTTTTTTAACGAAATTTATTGAAAACTTACTTTATTATGTCCCAAATATACTGTAATTTATTTGATTAAAAATATTTATTTTTTCACCTTATTTTGAATTAATATCGAAAAAACACCCTAATTTTCAATCGAAAATTCTGACGTCAAAATTTCAGCTTTTTCAAACAGTTGGTGTGCTTTCAGTTCGTTGAAATCTCTTCTTTCCTATGGTAAAAAAATATATATATATTACCATAGTAAATCTTCTCAGAAAATGCAAAACATCGTATGCAGTAACGCCCAGACCCGTCATACCCTTCCCTACTTCTCTATGAATCTTCTTTAAATTATAATTAGATGCCTATTTATTACTATTTTAAGATAACTTATATATACCTGAGTGACCTAAAAAAAATATTTAGCCTTTAGATGGGCTAAAATTTTCGTATTTCATAGAGAAGTAGGGAAGGGTATGACGGGTCTGGGCGTTACTGCATACGATGTTTTGCATTTTCTGAGAAGATTTACTATGGTAATATATACATATATATATTTTTTTACCATAGGAAAGTAGAGATTTCAACGAACTGAAAGCACACCAACTTTTTGAAAAAAGCTGAAATTTTGACGTCAGAATTTTCGATTGAAAATTAGGGTGTTTTTTCGATATTAATTCAAAATAAGGTGAAAAAATAAATATTTTTAATCAAATAAATTACAGTATATTTGGGACATAATAAAGTAAGTTTTCAATAAATTTCGTTACAAAAAAAAGAAATTTGTAAAAGATAAATATTAAAAACCAAAAACTTGGTTTTTTGAATTTTTCACATAAATTTTGAGGTTATGTGAAAAATGTGTGAATACAAAAGTTTTAGATCTTTTTATTACCTACAACTTTGCCATTTAACTTTCTTCGATAGGACTTTTATTTTTGCCGGAAATCGAGATAAACCGTTTTTTACCCTTAAAACTCCCCCCCCCCCTGCCCCTTCCCGACCTCAGATCGCCCGTAAATTATTTTTCCTTTAATTTTTATAATATTCTCCTCCTTTTCCAATAGGTTTCATCCTACTATTATTTTTTTCACTTTTTATTTATTTTGAAGGCTATCTGCACTGGTCTATTATGCGTAAGTTTCGCATATAGTAACACACAAGCCAAAGTCACATTTTTTTTTAACATTAGTTGTAATAATAAATATATATAATATAATAATATATCTTTTTTAACAAAAATAAATAAATAATGATTATCTTTAATCAATTTACTATAAATTGTTAATTTATCAAAGTTTTTCTATTATATCATAAAAAGTAAAATCCAGGTCATTTGTTCCTTTTTTCTTTTTATTATTATTATTACTTTTTGGGAATTTATATGCTTCGGGAACTAAAGTTTCATCTATTTTATTACGTTTTTCTATTTAATTTTAGTCATTATGACTTAATTAAACCAAGAATTATAAAATCCCTTAACTAAATATTAAAGGTATTACCGTGATTCTGTGTCGCCATATGCATACGGGCGCAAGCGGGCGGATGCGCGTGAGTTGCGAACGCGCCGCACCAATCGCGGTACACTCGTGCGCCATTGTCATTGCGCCATTCTGACATCTCAACGCTTCGGTTCTGAATATAATATTAGTTTATTAATAAATAAAATAAGTATTAAAAATGTTTACTGCCCATTAGAGAAGGAGATCCATCATTGCTATTTTATACTTATGACCATGCATTTTGTACGCTGTCGAATGCTGCTGATGCAAGGAGCCTATCCAAGTCATAGTTTTATTTATCTCTATAACAACCTCAACTCAAAGTCAAAATCGTTTATTCATATAGGTAACACAATGTATACTTATGAACGTCAAAAAAGAATATGCATATAAAATGCTTTGAATTTTTCATTTACTGCCAGTTCTCAAATCAAATCAACTATGAATCAACGAATTTTTATCAATATTATGGAAATCATAAATCAATCTCTGTACAATCAAGAAAAGAGCTGACTGCACTTGACCTCAGGTTCTTAATCAAAATTAATAATTAGATGTTAAAAATATTATTACCGGTGTGGAACTCTTGCTGCGTCCGCTGATCTCGGAGCCGTTGCTGTTCTTCTGTCTGTCTTTCGTGCGGTCTGGTGAATCTCGGCAGGAGCCATCTGGCTCGTCACGGGTCTGATTAAATACGATAAAAAAGTTAATCTAATATATAAAATTCTCGTGTCGCGGTGTTTGTGGTTAAACTCCTCCGAAACGGCTCGATCGATTCTCATGAAATTTTGTGTGCATATTAGACATGTCTGAGAATCGGAAAACATCTATTTTTCATCCCCCTAAATGTTAAGGGTAGCCCACCCCTAAAAAATTTTTTTAATTTTAGATAAAAAAATTATTCTTTATTTTTTTATGATACAACGTTAAAAATACATACAACCCCTAATTTTTATTACAAATGATATACATGGCAAAACGACGTTTGCCGGATCAGCTAGTATACCTAATATAGTTCCGTAATCACAGAGGATATGGGGTATGGAATGAAGCTCGAATTTAACGAACAGCGTCTTTTACTATAAGTGTTTTTGTATAAACACACACCTTCCTGTGTGACACATACACACATGAATACACATATTTATTACTATATAAGTAAATGAACAGTGTTGGCCTAGTGGCTTCAGCGTGCGACTCTCATCCATGATATCGTAGGTTCGATCCCCGGCTGTGCTGGACTTTCTTTCTATGTGCGCATTTAACATTCGCTCGAGCGGTGAAGGAAAACATCGTGAGGAAACCGACATGTCTTAGGGTGAGATCTATAGTGCGCACTTGGACTTTGCTCAGACTTACCTTACGAAAAACTTTGCTTAGTGTACACTAAGGTTAAACTATGATTTCGTATTTATAGACATTTTAACGGTGAGATTAAGCTAAGCCCAAGCTAAGACAGAAAATGTCAAAATACAAATTGATGTTTCATTTCATGCAATACTTTGTTTATTATCCTTTAAAAAAGTAAACAATAACAAATATTTAAACATCTAAAACGGTACACATATATCTTCAATTTATTGTTATTTATGTATTCATTTATTTTATTATTGCAATAACTAGAAATTTACGAGTAACCTTTAGAAAATGTATTAATTATTTAAAGATGACAATAATTTTATTACGTAGAACGGATCGCAATGTTTTGACAACAGCAACAGAGCACTTGTATCAACTATCAACAATTGAAAATTTTAAACCACTTTTTCTCTTTTTTGATCTTTCTTCAAAACAACGACTGGCTTTGTGACTTGGACCTGGACCAATCTGGATCGTATACCTACTTAAGACCTACGCATTCCCGAAGCACTGTGACGTTTTGTGATTTGGCTTTGTTACATGGACCGCTTGGAAATATCAATATCGAAAGTGACATGATGGAGAGAGAGAGTTCTATCTTCAATAGAAAACATTGAAAGGGTAGGAACTGCAGCCGATATGAATCCACGAATGCCTAAAGTGTTGTATATGTTCGGAACTAATAAAACCAAAATCCTTCCATCCTGTACGGTGAGAATGAATTCAAAAGAAGGAACCGTATTTTGAAACACACGGTATTAAATGTGATCCTGACGCTGATCATTACAAACTTGCAACTTTATAACAACAGAGGATCGCCAAACCTACCGCAATTGCAAAAACTTATTGCATTAAGGCATAAAAATGAAACTGGATGTTTTCAGGTAATACTGTGTTCATAAATATGTATGGTTTTTCAATTTGATATATTATACCTCTTCTCAAATGATTTTAAATAGTACATATGTTGAAGACTTTTGTCTTCTGACTTTCAGAAACATAACATATATGTGACTAATAATACTTTATTGACATTACAGATGGTGTGTGGTGATCTGAACAGCATAAGCCAATCTACAGTCTGTTTAATTATAAATAAAGTCTCTGCAGAGTTGAGTAAATTTCTTCCTAGATTTGTAAATTTTCCAAGAAATATGAACACAGCCAAAACGAAGTTTGAAGAATTAGGAAGATCTAATACTCACCATGGCCTAAACAGTATAATCGGAGCTATTGACTGCACCCATATAAAAATTAATAGACCCAAAGGTATCGCTCACTCTGAAGCATACAGAAATAAAAAAGGGTATTTTTCTGTAAATGTGCAAGCAATAATAGGGCCTGATATGGAAATATTTGCTATAGTGACTAGGTGGCCTGGCAGTTCACACGACAGCAGGATATTTAGAAACAGCCAGGCGTATGCAAGACTGGTAAATGGTGAACTAGAAGGAGTTTTAGTAGGTGACAGTGGTTATCCAGCACTGAACTTCATGTTAACACCACTATTGAATCCACAAACAAGAGCTGACAATAATTATAATTATTCTCAATTGAGAACTAGGAATATTGTTGAAAGGTTTTTCGGAGTGTGGAAAAAGAAATTTCCATGTTTGCAGAGAGGACTACGATCAAAATTGACAAATACCAGCAACATAATTATAGCTTGTGCTGTATTACATAATATAGGTATACAGAGAGGGGATGTTTATGACGATGGTGATCTTGCTGATCAAACACCAGAAGTTGAAGAACACAGAAACAATGAAAGATCTACTACAGGTCTAGCATTCCGGCAATCTGTGATTGCACAATTTAACTAGGTTGGTTTGGTAATAAAGAAAATCAAAACAAAAATTGTTTCATTTTAATAATTTATTTTCAGATTCTTTTTTAAACTGTAAAATTTCTAGTTCTAATTTATATTTTTGTCGAAGAAATTCGATTTCTAACTGATTTTTTAGTTTCATGTGTTCCACTTCTATCTCAAATTTTTTTTTGTTGTTGTCTAACTCTTGCCACAGCAATTTTTTTTTAATATCCTCAAATGAAGGTTTTCTGATCACTGATTGTGTAGCTGATAGCTGAGAGGGTTCACTTTTAGTGGTGACCTCAACACTGGTTTCCGTTAACCCAGCTTCATCAGTCCAGTCCTGGCTTGTTCCCGGCTGATTTACAGATTCAAGTGTGGCCTCTATACTGGACACTCTTGCCCTCTTTGGTCTCCAGCTTTCACCGTCATTGTCATAACCAGTACCAGCTATAAAAGTAAACAGTCTAATAAGTTATCATATAGGTATGTCTTTTATTGCTTAGAATAAGATAACATGCAGGTCAACTAATAAACCTGTCCAGAAGTCTGGTAGGGGTGAGAACAGAGTGTTGTCACATACTTTGGGAGAGGCCTATGTTTAGCAGTGGATGTGAGTTGGTTGAAAATGATGAGGAATTATATCTTTGGGAAATGATCTTACCTTCTACTGTAGTTAATGTGTCACAGTCTATTGGTACATCTATTGACGGCATTATATGTGGCATGACTGCAATCACTTGACTGTCCATTGGCCCCATTTCAGGCGGTGCTGGTCCTCCGCCTGTCCTCTTCCTTTGGGCTTCAAGGGTTTTGGCATCCCTAGCTTTTGCCTTCATATTTTGCCACATCTTTTTTAATTGTTTAGAATCAGCCTAAAATCGAAAAAAAATTGTACTGAAATATAAAAGTTCATATGACAAACATGAAAATTTTATCAAACCAAAATTTACCACCAAGGTTACATTAGCATTGCTTTGGCTTTGGCTCATTCTATCCTTGTACCTAACTATACTCTAGTTATATATCTATCTTTGTAATTATCGTACAGCATAATATTGATATTTATAGATAGTGTATGTTGGTGGATTACTTACAGAATGTGACACGTTAGAGTTATTAAATTCTATTGCTAATTCTTCCCAAGCCTCGTGTTTCTTTTTTTGAGAAACGGCGTCCGTCTTCCTGTTCTCTAGAATGCCAATCTTTGACTGAACCAACTGTACAAGCAGTTGCCTCTCATATTCCGAGTAAGGCTTCTGTTTTTTTTTATCCATTTTTTTGTGAGCGAGTCCGGTCCGAGTGAGAATAGCCGTGGTCAGTCGTTTAAGCAGGTACAAAATCCGTTGAGCAAGCAAGGTCGTCAGGTAATAAAAGGTAGAAGATTCAGGTAATCGAAAATAACGGTCAACGGATGTGAAGCGATGAGCGAGAGACGAAGTTGGTTTGGTTATTTGAATTTTGTTGTCAACATATGCCAGTGCTGCCAGGTGACAGATACGATATCACACCAGTTATTTATAAGATCTCTCAAAAATGGGGTTGAACACTTATATAAATAATGTAAATAAACAACAATAGATACCATAATAATGTGTAATTATTTTATTTCATGCATTTCATAGGTATTTATCAAGATCATTTATAATTTCTTTGAATTCAAATTCTATTTTTCCCAAAGTCTATGGAACTCCGATACAAAATGGCAACACCGTTCATTAAAAACCGACAAAAATAAAAAGTCCAGTAAAAGATATGATGGTAAAGCAAATTTTGGGCCATTATTTTTGTTAGGCTTATAGTCAAAGTTTTTGGTAAGTCGTCGATTTCGTGGACTTGAGATTAAGCTAAGCCAACACTAGGGAGAGATTCGCAGTTTGCTCTATAAATACCGACTGTGTCTTAGCTCGATAGTTAAGTCAGAGCAAAGTCTAAGTGCGGACTATAGATCTCACCCTTAGACACAAAAAGTCGACGGCGTGTGTCAGGCACAGGAGGCTGATCACCTCTTTGTCTATTAGATTAAAAAAAATGATCATGAAACAGATTTAAAAATCTGAGGCCAGACCTAAAGTGGTTGTAGCGCCACTGATTTATTTTTTATTTTATAAGTAAAGGAAGAGCTAGGCACGAGAAATATGTATTTACTTAAAAGGTCTATGGTGTATATAATTCTAGTTACTATACAATATAAAATAAACAATTTTGATTTGATTTTGAAGTATACTTACATTGTGGTGAGAAGGGGGCATGCTACTAGCACCACTGCTCACGAGTCGCAACTGTTGGCGTATATTTGCCTTCTCTCTCGCACGTTTGCGCTGAAACTCTTCTTCTACCCTGAAATTATTTATTTGAAAATGTTACATACACAACCACAAGAAGATATTTTAAACATCTCCGAGTACATCCTATACGAATTATTTTTCCGATGCGTATATAAGCTATATGATAATTTACCTCCTCATGGCTTCCAGCTCAGTTTTCCTTTGTTGCTCTTTCAAATCTGCTTCCTTGGACAGTTTTTCCGCGAGCCGTCGCCGTTCGAGCTGTCGTACTGTTGACTGGAACGTGAACCGCTTGCTGCGTGACGGGTTCGTTCGCTGTAACAAATCAACATTTATTTATAGCCACACATAGATATGATATAACCAAAAATATATATAAATTGAAGTTTCTAAATTTACATTAGATCAAGGCGTAGCCGAGAAGTACAGTTTTAAACGCCCAGTTTTTGGTTTACAAATTGATTACACTTTAAATATTACTTTCACGTGACTTGACTAGAAACTATCGCTTGTGTTAAAGTATTTACTTATTAAAACTTTACAGTAAACCTTATTTAGTCGTGATAAATCAGTAATCATTGAAATCAGTTGAAACATTTAATGAATTTTACTAATATAATTTTGTTTCTCCATGAATATTTTTTCCTTTTAACAATAAAAAAACAATTCGTACTGCTGTTTGTTGAAGCAGCGAAGGCTTATGCTTTTCTACGAAGTTTTACGACTTTGAGGTGAATATCAATATATGAATAGTTGTATTTAATTAGATTAATATTTGATGCACAATTAGTTGATTTAGAATAATTACAGTTAACAATAGGTAGCGCAAATTCGTAATGCGTTATGCGAGTGAGGTCAGGTTGTGCAAGAGGATGCCCCAGATTCCTATCTGATCAGCTTTCCACTTGCCTTTGTTCTACATATAGATGCATATAATTTTGCTAATTATTCTGTTAGCTAGTAAAGCTCATTTCACTATGAGGTCGTAGCTGCTATTCGCCAAATGTTTTTGCATTGGTAGTATTTATTTTATTTATAATTTCTATAAGAGAGTAGAAATTGAAAAACAGCACAAAATCTAAATAAAAACTTAAACCTCATTATTAAAAATTAATTAGTGGCGCTACAACCATTTTAGGATGGGCCTCAAATTTCTGTATCTATTTCATCATTCATTCATTTGTCAATCTAATAGGCAAGTAGATGATCAGCCTTCTGTGCCTGACACACGCCGTCGACTTTTTGAGTCTTAGGTAAGCCGGTTTCCTCACGAAGTTTTCCTTCACCGTTAAATGCGCAGATAGGAATAAAGTCCATTAGTGCACAGCCGGTAATCGAACCTACTACCTCAGGGTTGAGAGATGCACGCTGAAGCCACTAGGCTAACTGTTCGGGGTTGGGAAAAATTATTAAGATATTTAAAGGGATAATTATTTATTTAATGAGTAATGAACTAAACTAGTGGGGTGAGATGAGATTGGGATAAGAGGATATAATGAAAATGAACACACAAGCAAATCATATTGCATGGTGTCAATTACATTGCAAATACCTGTACGCTTGTAAACCGAACACTAACACTGCTCTTTGGACCTCATTAATAGCATACGAAAAGTAAGAATATTGTTATAAAATATATAAATATTCTCATTAGTATATAGTAATGTACCGACTGGGCTATAATAATAATATAATATAATATTTTTTTATTAATCAGACAAATACAGTCCATTGATTGATTAGTGGGTTAGTAACAATAGTTTCTTAAGATCTATGTTAGAGAATTAGTAAAAATAAGGAAAAAGTAGTTAAATAAAAACTATCAGGTACAAAGCCCTGCGGAGATGTCGGAGCAGTGTCGTAAATAGGGGCACTCCATTCTTTCGACTATCATCCGTAAGATGTAATATATATATATATACTATAGCGGCTAATCTCTATTAAGACTGGCCATTTTTGCAGGGTATACACAGTGCACTCTCTATTCAATGGAACAAATATCCGATATGTGAACAGGCGTCCGCCCAACAGTTTTACGTAGTATTTCTTAGCACGGGATAATACATACATACTTAAACAAAGGAAAGTTGCGTACCTGGGCTATGACCGCTACCATTTCCTTCAATTAGTTATAATGGGTAAAATTCTGGGTAAATGGCATGGCAATCTCCAGTAATAGAGAGGCATCAACAGAAAATGATACATACGTTGAATTGTCGATTTGACACCCAAAGACGCGATTGAAGTCGGTTTTAGTAAATACCCTCCTTTTCGTCCACAGTCGCGTAAAGACTATTTAAGCAATCATTTGCAAAGTCATTAAGCTTAATGCGTACCCGTTTCACACGCTCCAAATATTTCAGAAGAATACAAAAGATGCTAAAGCACTTTTACTCTTTAGTACGTTATGAGTCATATACATTAATGACGAGATAATTGCGTCAGATTCACTAAAATATGATTTTACTAATATAATTGTAGATATACATACCTAATATAAATATAGTAATTTAACCTAAAGTGAAGTTAAAGGTTAGTATTATCGGGGTAAAATGTATCAAATTCATTTCAGTATTAGAAGCAAAAAAATTTTTTTTTCTAATTGGTTCCCCTTCATGTATTCATATATTATTCTTAAACATGAGGCCTTTCTGTATTTTGAAAATAATACGCAATAAAACATTTAAGTTATGAATTATTAAAACAAAATTATGAAGTAGAATTTCTGTAACCGTTTCATTTTGGATAGATTAATCTAGTATAAAGCACGAAAAAATTACTATACAAATGGTTTTAGAAAGAAAGTTATGAATAGAACCTTCATCCTTTACAAAATAATAATAATATAAAAGCTTGTCAACGCTCGGCACACTGATACATTGGTACAAGAACAATAAAATATATTTTTTAATGTGACAAGCACTCATAGGCAAACAACACACACGAAGAAATAATAAAAAACAAATTAAAAAAACAATTAAACTATAAAAACTAAACGAAAATCCATTTTAAAGTGTGAGGGAAGCTATGGATATCCAGATCCAGCTCGTTTATCAGTGTGCTCAATCTGGACATCGGTGAGATTGACGGAGGAGGAACAAATGTAATGATGGGAGGCCTGGGGTATACACACTGGGGTACTTCATACAATAATAAAAAATCCAAAGAGAGATTTCCAATCTCTGCAAATTTTGATGCTAATGTTATGGTGCAAATTTTTTAATTAAACAGAGATATCAAAAAAACTGTAGTAATTACATGGATTCAAATTATAAATTTTAAGTTTTTTTTTTTACAAAAAAACCATGAATCTAATCTTAGAAATAATATAAATTATTAAACAGAAAATCAAAACAAATTTAAAAAGTTTGGTCCCTGCGGCAGTGTACCTTTAACGCTGGCAGCATTTACTTTGAAAGTAAAGAAAACTGTAAATACTTGATTGTAAATATGAATTATGTTTAATAAAAATGTATTATTATCTTAGAAATTGTATTTCGTTCATAATAATGAGAATAGTTTAATATGCGCAAGTGGTAATACAGTGTCGCTTGCTCAGGTGTCGGTTGAGCAAACATTGACATGCTACAAATTACTGTCAATATTATGTATAACGGCATCGGGCTAGCGAACGTTCATCGAATTAACGAAAATTATCGTGTATTGCAAATCTCAGAATAGAGAAACCTTTTTAATTTGACTGCTTTGTGGTTTTAGTTGACTTGACAAACCGTTGAGGATTGAAGAAAAGAGTTTAAGTAAATCGAAGTTTTACCATCGATTTTTTTCTGTAACGCGCAGGAGGCTCACCTGATAGAGATTAGAGATACCGCCGCCCATAGACACTCACATTGCCTGAGTGTTCGCAAGTGCGTTGCCGGCCTTTAAATTATTCTATAGAATGTTTTATTGGTTTACTAACTTTACTTAGTGTATCGTTTACAAATACTTATCGATATTTTTGTTCGTGATGAAATCGTAAACTCTACCAGGAGCGAATAGTGAAAGGGACTTGGGGTAAGATCCAGAGCTAAGATAGCTAGATAGCGGTAAGCATGAATGGAGGGATGCAGGGCCCAGTAGCCTACGTACTTTAGCTATGTCGATGGTACAAATTTTACTTGTTATATCATAAGAACATAAAGATATTAAATCATCTAATGTTTCGGCCATACAATGCGCTGAGCCGATGAGAACTTGGAGATACTGATCGTGGTTCATGGAAGTCCAAATATCGCGTGGTCGTTCACCAATCAGATGAACCCATCAAGTGTAAGACTCGTCGTCAAAACTCTGCACTGGACAAAAACCAGTGAAGACTGATAGCTAGTTCCAGGTGAACCTTGCTGAACATGATGACATGAGCTACCGACCTACGTGAGAGTTTATACTTTCTTTATTTATAACATGTATGCACATACCTATAACAACATGTATGCTTAAAATATACAAGAAAATTTGACTTCACAAATTTTACACATATACACAAACACACCTATTATATTAGAATATAAAAAAATATCAAGAATAATCAAAAAACCTTTTATATACCAACATTGAATTTTAATTTTTTTTTTTTGGAATTCTCCCAAGTTGCTTGGCTACTTATAGAAAAAGAAATATATCGTCGGTGTAGAATGATAACCTCGTATGCCCAAAAATTACAGGAAACGAAAAAAAATTTTCATTTCGTCAATGTTGTTTTATCTGTAGTTTTGGATAGTAAAAAGGTCTTATTTATTAATAACCTAAGTCATTACTTCATTAGATTTTACCAGTTAAATGACATAAGAGTCTAGAATAAAAAATGGTGCGTGTACTTATGTACGCGCGTAAGAAGTTATATTTCTTTGGCTTTCTTTGTAATTTAACAATATTTAATATTTAGTATATTATTCAATTATTAATTGATATTAATAATAATTATTAATTGATATTAATAATAATTATTATTTATTATTTTATTATATTAATAATTCAATGTAATAACTAGGTATGTTTCATAACCTTTTAACTATTACTTAGTTAAAAGGTCAATAGGTCTTTGTGAAAAAGCATTGCTAATTTTCTTAGAAAAAATTATTAAATCTCCTTTATTTGTTTAAAAGGTACTACAAATGTCATTATGGTCATTTAAAATTCTTGGGATAGCTGCTAACGTCACGCATATTCTATTTCTTTTTACTTGTAGATTGTCTTATTCCCATCTCGCTCGCGCACGTTCGGCGCCCATACTGATAATTTTGTGTCACGGTGCGCGCGCATCGTAAAATTTCAATCTCATAAATTTTTCATAACGCGCCTAAAGAAGTATA